CACTAGACTAGGTAAGTAACCAGAGAGAGCCGCCGCAAGAGGCAGTTCCTCATTTTATTGCAGTACTTTTACTTTGGTAGTTTCTGGCATTTTAGAAGGTCTTTATTTATACTTTGTACTGTTCTTAGAGTTTAATTTCTGGAAAGCCCTAAATGGTGCCTTGTTTGAACCCTAGTCAAGATGCATCAAGGTGCTCAAAGTCAGGCAAATGGGTTTGGTTCCCGATGCAAAAAATACTATAAACATCTAAACATCCCTAGCCATGGCCATGAAAATCCAGTAATAACCAATACATCTAATAATTAACAATGTGCTGCTTTTTCATGAGGTCCCAAATCATCTGTCCCTGGAAGCTGCCTCAGGCTCCCACATCAGAGTTTGCTTTTCCTTAAAGGATCCTACCTCCTAAGGTCACATCTACTTGTAAAAAGGGATCATGGGCCTAGGAGAGGAGAACATTTGTTTTCAGAAGATTTCAGGCAGCAAGAATTGTGGGGAGGGGACAGCAGGAGGGGAAATACTTGTGGGCAAAAGTGCAGTTATTTTGGGGGGGCTCAGATGCCTAAGAGATCAGCAGGGCCCCTGTGCCTTTGTCTCAGCAAGTGGCATCTTTCTTCAGTTACAACACAAGCCGATCTTTCACTGTAACTTTCTGTACAGCAGGCTCCTGCCCATGAAAGTGCATTACGCCACAGTAAGTTTCTGAGTCTTTAAGATGTTGTACATCATTGTGGCTTTTCTACAGAAAAGAGCATGAAGTTCTGATCTTCCTCCCGCATCTATTTACTTCTCTCTAGCCTGATGCCATGGAGGATCATGTGACCACTAGAATCTGGGCACATGGATCATGGAAAAAGCAGGTATACTCCAGAATGCTGGTACACTCCAGGAACTCCAGACATGCTCAGGCAAGCCAGTACAAGCATCTATTATGCATCCTTTGCCTTGTCTCAAATTCAGACCCCGCTGCTTATTCAAATCATTTTTGCAAGCAAACCCATTTCTGGCCCCAGGGAATGGGCCTGACCCAGCTCTGAGGAAGCAACAGAGGAGGATGGTCTCCGGCACTCCATTTGACAGTTGAGCAACCAGTGCACCTGCTCTTCCTCTCAGGTCCATGCTACTTACAATGGCCCAGAGTACCAGTGCCCAACAGCTATTGTCTGGACAGGTTTCTGAAGATTCTGGGACACTCTGAGAAGGTCAGGTGACAGTGGTGCTGATGGGCCACTTTGGAGTCTAGATTGAATGCTAATAATGAGCAGTCTGTGGAAGGAAAGGTGGAGAACTCTATTCCAGTGTAAAAGGATGGTGCTTCATATTGCTCTCCTCCTTCATATTGTTCTCCTTCTTAGAATTCTAAGGTCTCCTAGTGATTGCTGCACTATTGAGTTCAGAGGGAAGTTGCTGGCGCAGTTCTAACTATCCGGGGAGGATAGTTCAAAAGATGCAAGGCCCATGCCTAGGCGAGCTAACAGCTAACACTGCTCATGGATAGCCAGGATCGTGAGGCAGATGGCCTCTAGAGGACCTGGCACTCCAAATGAAACTTTCAAGGATCCAGCTCTGGTGGACACCCAGTGGATGGAGAGGAAAAGGAGAACAAAAGTGCATGGCAGAGAGAAAACAAAGCTGTATCTTCTGCTCCTGGCCACTGCTGGCTTGAGCCCCCAACAAATTTTCCATGGGGAAATCTGGCCTTGGACAGAGTCCTGTTCTAATTGCTACCCTTCACTGACTTTCTGCTTGGGCATCATCAGCTTCCCTTCATTTTCATGGTTCCATAGATCAGAGAAACTCAAAAGGACCAAGGGACCTGAGTTCTCCTCTCCATTACAGCACAATCTACTCCCCTGCTACTTCTGAAAAGGAGAGTATTCATGGCTCTATCCATTATAACCTTTACAGCCCAAACTAGTAAATGTAAAGCAACTTCTTTCTGAATGGATGTTGGCATTCATCTCTTCTAAAGGTTACTTTCAGACTGCACAAGAGTAATAATTAACCTTGGGGGAAACTTCCCTAATGTGTCTGCATGAGAGCAGTCACTTATGTAGGGGTGCATTTGTGGGCCTCCTTGGAGGGCAGTTTATCTCTGTTTTGGGAAAATATTCCAATCACATCCCATTCAGCAGGTGATGGTAAGCTGGTATCCTCCAGATCAGAGTGGGAATCAAGCCTGAGCATGATGAACATGCTACTAGATCTGAAGCCAAGTGGATACTTATGATTGAGCTTCGTCTCCTGGCTAATGAAAGAGCCATAATTTCACCTAGCTAGTTTTTCTTCAGTTCTGGAACTATTGCATCTTGTCCAGGAGAAATCAGTTACCTTATAATCTAATATTTGGGGGCTGAGAAGTATCCCCATTCAAGAGCAACATTTCAGTTATAAAATACATGACAGGAGACATCTTTTCTTCTTGGCTTGGGAGAAGAATTAATGTGTTGTTCCTCCAGGCAACTTTGGAGGCCCTGGCCTATTCAAGGAATTTAGTCAGGCCTCAGAGAAGGGGAGTGTAAGCGTTCTTTTCACTTGTTCATACTCTGCCTCCAATATTTTATCATTGCAGTCAATAAAGTGTATATTATCTTTGGCACAGGTGCTTTCATTTCTTCCTCAGCATCCTGTTTTCTGAAGTGAGGTGCCTTGGCTGGACCAGGCCCTGAGGTTAAAAAGAAACATTAATTTTGTGCACAATAACATAAATCTATAGCACAAGCTCGGTAGCTGCCCATGCCAAACAGGACTTCTTTATCATCCATTTCTTTCCCCCTTACGCTATTAGGTCATCTCTGAAAGCCCTTTTCCATGTAACCCCTTAATCAGAGGCTGGGAGGATGTATAAAAGAGGGATGTATTTCTCCACACTGGTCTTCTGGATTTGGAATGCCGTCTTCAGATGGCAGCACTGTCCTTCAAGCACCAAGCCAAGATCTTCTGCTTTTCCAGTTAAGACCTGCATTTTGATCTCTACTGATTTTTGTAAAAGCTCTGGTTCCTGTAGCCTGTTCTAGATTTTGTAATCTATGGTGTATTTCATAGCATTGCACTGGAACAGATGTTGAATTTTATCTCTGCTGGTTTTTGCTTCTGGGCTTCAGTGTTTTATTCTGTATTAATCTGCACAGTGCTTATGGAGACTGTCTATGAGGCATTTCAGAAATAATGTAAAATGATAAAATAATAAAATAACAAAAATAATGTAAAACCTTATATATTTTAATAAGGTATAAATGAAGCAATATAAATAATATAAAATATTTATTTCAAACCAGTTTTTAAAATCTGGACATAGAAAGGACTTGTGGTGATTTAAACTTGCAGAAGGAATTAGTATAAGCCATTCACACCTTCTGCTGTCTGTATTTCATAACAAACAGGAAACAGCAAGATTGGGGTACTTAAAAGGGGTGCTCTGAGAGCGTGGATTTCATACAACCTCCTTTCTGCACTAAAAGCACATGAAAAGGGATGATCGGCCATGTATTTCATAGTTCATGTACAATAGTTCATGTGTTCAGTTTCATGTGCAAAAGAGCTCTATGCACATACTGAAGTACATGCATGGGGCTCCTTTACACAAGGAGGAATCATTCCCCTTGCATAGAGGCCCTGACATGCAGACCTCAGTAAATAATTTTAGACCCTGGAGTGAACTTAACCACTAACCCACCCTGCTTTAGATGGCTATGCATATTACTTCAGTTGTGAAGGGCATTACTAACTTCCTTTCTTCCCTGCACCCTCATTCCTTGCTTTACATCTGCATCTACATTTCTTACGTTAGTATAAAAAGCAAATTAAAAAGCATGTGACATTCTGCATATGAAATGTACCCATAGCATAATCATGACCAGAGGCATAAAGCTGAGCTTGCTTGTGATGCCCTGATGCTTCCTCCCCCACCCCGCCTCTGCTCCAGGCTACAGGGCCCTGGACTTGCAGTGCAGGGTCCAGGCTTAGCTGTACCAGTGTGTGGTAAAGCCAGCAGCAGCTGGAGTCTCCAATGGCAGTGAAAACGGGTTCAGCACCATGGAGAGCTCCTAAAAAGCTCAGCCTGCATCTGGAAATGGATGCACTGCTCCACAAATACTGGAGGCGCCACCCTCCACCATAAGGTTCTCCAGACGGCCACAAAAGGCTTTTCATGAGAGGTATGGTCAGTGATTATAACAGTGTGAACCAGCTAGCCTGACTCCATGACCACTTCACCTCCTTCGGGGGTGGGTCATGTTATGACCTCCAGATGCTTTCACCTACTATTTCCGTAAGCCCTGCCTGTTGGGCGATATGCCTGGGACTGAGGGAACCCTAGTCCAAAACTGCAGCGGGAAGAAAGTCGCTCTTCAGATGTTCCGGACTTTGGCTTCTTGTGCAGGCATGCTGAGAGTTGAAGGCCAAAACATCTGGAAGGCGCAAGGACTGTTACTCAAGGGCATCACAAAACGTGGAAATGCTACTGTCGGTTAAGGACACAAGGGCTGTGCCTAAAAAGGAGGCCGCAACTCCAGCCGTCGTATCCTTCACTTGAAGTCGGAGCCCGCGCATAGCTCGGCAGCGGACAGTCCCCCTCGCCGAGTCCGGAGGGCAATTCTGGTTGCAGAGACCTCCCCGGGAAACGCACTCTTAGGGTTCTTTAGGTCATAGAGATAGGAAATAGAGGCAACGGTTCTCACTTCCGGCTCTCATTTCAATTTGCGAGCCTGGGCAACCGAACTCGGGGAGGGAGGCGCTCTGCTCCAGTGGCTGCATCGTAACCTTGTTAACGACCTCAGCAGACGTTATAGTCTATCAATGTCCACGTATAGCTTCGTACCGGTTGTCCTGCTAGCATGTCCCATAAGAAACCGGAGGTATAGGAGTACTATTGGTGGTATATTTTCGTTCTCTTTCCGTCCGTCACAGATCGCGTGGAGCCAATCACGCGCGTTCTCGCCCTCCCTCCCGCCTTCTTTCTGTCGCTCTACTGCACCCTTTCGAGACGCTTCCTGATCCCCGGAACGTTCGTGGCGGCTGCGCGGGTCCGCCGGACGGCGCCTGGAGGGACGAAGACACGTCCTGGGCAAGATGGCGGCTGCCATGGTGGGCTCACGTGGGGAGACAGAAGCCGGCGGCACTGAGACGGAGGAAAGCGACGGTGGTAATGGCCGGGGCTTTTGTCTGCGTTCGGAGTGGGACGCGAGGGGAAGGGAAGAAGAAAGAGTGAAGGGGGGACAGATGTTGGAGGGGAGAGAACTGAAGCTCTCACTCAACTACTGGGGTTCCGCAGCGTGGGATGTGGCGGTGGGGTGTCGTGTACGTAGGGTTCGGGCTTGAGTTTCTTTATTAACATTTTCACCTCCCTCCACGGCTTCTTACACCCCGTTCCCTTGGTTAGTTCTGCCTTCTCAGTGTTCGCATCTTTCAGCTCTCTTCGTTTTTCTTTGTAATCTATTTTGGCTTATTTCTGTGCCCACCGCTGATTGCTTTGGAGCAGACGGTGACTTGATAATTGTCAGTCTTTCTTAAGCCTCCTGACTCTTCGGTGAATATCAGATGCTTAAATGTTTACCCTTCTTTGTAGAAGCTCTCCTCCCATTATCAGAAGAATAGAAAGGGCTTGGGTTATTTTAGTCCTTTGAATTAGTTGAGATTTTTGTTGGATCAAGATGGTGATGATATTATTATGCTGCACGACTTTGGGTTGCACATTTTTTTCAGCTTGGTGAAATGGAGCAATAATTAACTATGGCTATCAAAAGTTAGACTGAAAACAGAAAATTTTCTGTGTGATATTGGCTTTTATCTTGGGCCAATAAATGCTGTAGTGGCTTGCATCAAGGAGATTTAGCCCTTGCTAAGAGCTTAATAGCAAAGTCAGAATTGCTTTTCAGTCTGCATCATTCTTAGATGAAAGATGATGACCTTTGGATAGTCTACAATGGCACATGATGCAATATAGGATTGTGTTTCCCCACACCCAACCGTGTCTAGTTGGAGATGACGGTTAATTTATGGATAATTGTGTTCTAGACTTTCAGTAAAAGTTAGTTTATTACTTTGCAGATGAGACTGGGGACTGCTTACACAATCCCATCTGATCCTCAGGGGCATGACAAATTTGAATCTGCCCAGTGGTTCTCCAAAAAGTTTTAGGACCTAGAATAATTGGGAGAGAGAGCTTGGAAGCATTTACTGTGATCTGGAAATAAGAGTTAAAACCACGAGTTCATTTTGTGTTATTTGATGACATTAAACCTAATTTCGTAGAAAATTTATAGTATCCTGTTGTAAGCCAATAACTGCTTGCAATGTCAACACTGAACATGGTTGGTAAGGAAATAGCTTTTCTTTTTGTAAATATAGAGAAAATATAAAAGTCTCAGGCCTTAAATAAAATAAATAGATAACAAAATAAAATAATTATCTTGCTCAATTATAGTGATAAAGCATACTTATTTTAGCAGATTCATATGGGCATGCGGTGTAGAATTATTTCATATTATTTCACTACCATGGCATTCATTTTGAATTTCTGAATGGGCAAAATGTCTTGTTTTCCCATAAAGTCAAAGACAGGATAATGGTGAACCACTGGAGCTAATGACTTTAGACGTTAGTCTGCTGGTCCTGGCCTGAATGTGCATGAATCACATTCAAAGGTGATTGTAAGGTATACAATCAAAGGTGATTGTAATGTGAGGAGAGTTTTGTGTTTCAGTGAAATGGGTGATAGCAGTGGAACCATAATGCTATACATAATGAGGAGATAGGATTTTTAGTGGATTTCCCCAACCTGGATTGTGGGAGAGGAATTCAAGCAGTGTTCTCCCTATTTCTCTGTCAAATAAAAAAAGCACATTACCCTCAGGTTGGTATAGACAAGTGCTGCTTTTGTTCTCTGAAAGTGGAACATACAGAATAGGTGAGGCATGAAGATTCCTTATAATTTCCTATTATATATATGTTGTCAACTAGAAATTAGTCAGAAAATGGCTTGGCCTTGCTTATTTATTTATTTGAAACTTTTCTAGACTGTCCCATTACCGACGTCACAGGAAGGTTTCACAATACAAAATGTAAAAAATTTAAAACACATTTATTTCTGTCCTTAAAGGTGTGGAGGAAGGCAACCATTTGTTGCTACCTGTAGCAATTTCCATCCCAGACTTTTAAATATTTTTTCCCTCTCACCTATATCATTACATCAATATGCATAGTTCTCTGCAAAGTATGAGAAGACTATTCCCTGCCCTGAAGGGTTTATAAAATAAACCTTGATAGCAGAGAAATGAGGCAGAACTGAAAGCATAGGAAGGATATGCATTATTTAAATTGTATGTGTTTAGACAAAAGATAAAATTGGATTTAAAGAGCAGATTTTAATCTTTTATTTAAAACTTTTGCTTTTGATTCAAAATGAAATATTAAATTTCTGTCTGAGTAAAGTATAGCTACTATTAAATTTCATCATAAACCTGCTGAACCACTTAGGGTGCAATCCATTGGACATGCCATGAGCCTCCGAACTTGGAGAATTCTAGTCATCCTATGCAGTGTGCAAAGAATGAACCAAAGCAATCTTTGCCTTTATGTTCTTTTTACTCCTCAAGTGTGCTATATACCTAATTAAGCCTACCTAAGTTTACTTTCAAAGGAAAGGGAGGAAGGCTGGAGTGTGTCAGGATTCATCATACCCTGCTGGACCCAGTCTCCTCCCTTGCAGTCATCCTTTTCCCTCTTCTCCAACATTAGACTTAGAACCTTGTGGAAGCACCTGTGAGTGAGGGGAGGGGGATCTGAATGTGGATCTGCATCTCTGAGATCAGAGCTCTTTTCCAGCCTTGGTCTGGGAATCCTGGAAGTCCTGTGGCCCCCTGTATGTTCTCCGGGACTTATAGAATCAGTCTGCCCCAGTATCATAAAATAAAACTAATCTACCACTGAAATATGGATATCAGTTTTTCACCTCATGGAAATTCCTCTGTCCATCTTAACTAACAGCTCAAGCTTCTTACAATCTCATACTAAAGTCATATGTAGAAAAACACAAGCTGGATGGGATTCCTGTAAGTCCCATTGAACTCAGTGGAAATTTCTATAGGATTGTGCTGTTAACCTCAAATTGTCAAGGGTGCTGGTTCTAAGAAAAACCCTACATTGCAAATACTCTGAAGATATTTCCTGTATAGGTAAAACTGAAGAACGCAAAATATATTCCATGAGACAAAGAGATGCAAAATCTGTTTGTAAGAATGCAGTACTCTAACTAGAGTGCTACTGCAGTTGGCCTAGGATCTGGAAGATCTGGGTTCTAGTCCCTATTTGGCCACACTGAGTGACGTTGGGTCCATCACTGACCCTTAGTGTAACCTATCTCACAGGGCGGAGGTGCTCTCCACCAGTTTTTGTAAAACTAACGGGTTTTCATTGTCTATTCAGGACAAGGACAAGGACAAGCTACGAAAAACAAGGAACCGCGTCGCCACCTTGGCTCAACTGGAGCAGAGTTCAGAGGGAACAGGAAATTAGGAGGGGGTGGCAGATGACATCCATTTCTTTGCTAATAAATAAGTGAAGTTTCCCTGTGAGCCCTGGTTCTTCTATATTGATACTCTCTTCCATGCACACAAGAGGCTGAATTCTGTAATGATTTGGCCAGGTCCCTTTAAGGCAGGGGTTCTCAAACTTTTCCACCACGGGGCCAGTTGAAAGCTGCCCAGCACGGGCCAGAGAGGTGGTGCCTGCGGTGTGCACGGGTTGGCATGGGAGCGGGGGTTGCGCGTGCAGGTGAGTGTGCTGAGGGGGGCAGCAAGGGGAGGGGAGGTGCAGGCGGGCATGTGCGCCCGGCGAGGGGAAGCGAGGCACGGGCGGGGGCTCGCTTGCTTGGAGATCATTTTCTCTGAGCGAGCAGACCGCTGCCTCCCTGCACGCGACGGGTCCAGATGGGCATGGCGGGCTGGATAAAGGGGCATGGCGGGCTGGATAAAGGGGCATGGCGGGCCGGATCCGGCCCCCGGGCCTTAGTTTGAGGACCCATGCTTTAAGGTATGTCCAGTATTACTGGCCCTGCAAGGAAGAAGAAGGGATTGGGAAAAGAACTTTTCATAGCATGACTACTGATTTAATACAGATCACTGTGGCAAATGCTACTATTTCTTTGTATTGTTGAGGAACTGAGTTTGTATGAGGACTAGACTGAATTAAAAGTTTGATTACGGCTATGATGACTGAAATAATATTAGCATTTGTATCCATGATGAGTGTAATAGTTGTAGTGAGGATGGCTGATGCTGGGTTGAATTCATGCTGTTACCACCTGAGTTGGTCCATGAAAAAAATGAGTGGTATATTAACTGCCTCCCTATCCCACTTAGCCCTGTGGCTTCCCAGATCTGGTAGAAGGTGATTGGAAAATGTTCTTTTTCCTCCCTCCCTCTTCAACAGGGCAGTTATATATTTCGTTTGATCATTAACAAGTAAATAGTCACAACTGGACCCTATGCAAATGTGCAAAAGTCTTAATTTTATTTCTGTAAGAAGCATCTGAATGGAAGGGCTGGGCAGCTGCAGCAGAGTGAAGTCTTGTATTAGCTTCTCTGTGTAAAGGAGGAGTGGGAAACAGAGACTGCCTTTTACTAGATCAGATAATTTATACAATTGAAATACATTCATGGAATTGAATCTGGTCACATTCGGCTCATTTCAGTCCACCTTGGTTGAAGAATTTCAACACTAGATGTCAGTATTGCAATTTTAATCTATCTCCCTCCCTCCCTCCCACTCTTTTTTAAAAAAAGAAAAACAAGCTGCTTTTACTCACAAAGACTATTCTATAATAAATTACAGAGCGTTTTTATTCTTATCATGACTTCTGAATGCATTATTCTGAGGATGAATTGTCTGTACATTATAAATAGTTATAGTGTCCTTGAAATGATGCCTTACTGCCCATGATTAGCATGGGGTATAGATTAATTACAGCAAAAAATAGTACTAGGTCTTCAAATTCCAGTGACATTTAAAACAAAATTGGGAAGAACTTCCCTTGATTAAGGATATTGTACCAATAGCAAGGAATTGTACATGCCTCTCCATCTCTTAGGCTCTGAATGGAGCTCCGGTATACCAGAGGACAGCTTCTCATCTGGGGATGAAGAACTAGATGGTGATGATGAAGATGAGCCAAAGACCGTGGAGACCGAAGCTCAAGATGCAGCTGAATCGAAAGAGACAGGCAATGCTGGTTGGGCTGATGCCATGGCCAAAGTGCTTAATAAAAAGGTTCCCACGAGCAAGCCCACCATATTGATTAAAAATAAGGCACGAGATGCAGAACGAGAAAAGGAAAAACAAGAGAGACTGGAGAGGAGGAAGCAGGTAAGGGAGCAGATGAAAGATTATAACACTGGTATTCACCAAACAGTATAGATATTATATGGCCGGGGGGAAGGGGCAGGGTCCTGAACTTCCTAGAGGCGTCAGATACTCCTTAATATGGAGATGCTTCATCTTTAGTGTCTGTTCTAAACTTCAAATTGTCTAAATGCTGACACTTTGGGACAGTGACTACCAAAAATCAGTTTGAAAGAACCCATCAGATCGCTATGAAACCTGCCCTGGATATGGGCCAAATGAAGATTTGTGAGCTGCATGTGAGCCATTTGTGAGCAGTGGCTCAATACTTGCTGCTGTGGGTGCCTGCAGACACCCACTTGCCACACACCACTAGCTGCCCCCCCCCCCCCCCCCCCCCCCCCCCCCCCCCCCCGTGCATGCCCACTTGCCACCTGCGGGCACCTGCTTGCAGCTTTCAAACATCTGGCATTAATTGTGTGTGGCTATTCTGTTGAGCAAGTCTGATCACCCCTGGTATATAGTATGGAAGGGATCTTTTTTGTGTGCAAGGATAAGACTAGCAACTTCATTGGATGGAAATTTTCTATCTATAGAGAAGTGCTAAATGCAGTGGAGGAGCAAACATGCCTCTCAGTAGCTGTTCCCATGAATAAATAAACAGTTTCAGCTGCCTTTGAATTCAGTGTAATTGCCTGTTCAGATATTAAAGTTGGGTTAACTTCAGATATGAAAATTGGGATAACCAAGATCTACAACTGGTTCTTCTATGTATCTGTTCTTAAAACATCTGTAAAATAACCAGGGCAGCTAAAAGACAATTCAGCACCCTCACTTTATCCTTGCAGTTTTCTAGAGACTTTTCCCTGCCCCCTGCCCTTTATTCAAAGTTCGCTAGTGGTTACCAAACTGTGACCCCCATCTCTATATTTACATACTTTTTAAAAAGCAATGTGTGTTGCTAGGCAATAGTGGTTGGTTGGTTACTTCCTCTGTACTCAGGATGAATCCTGAAAATGTTAAGCAGTAATACAGAATACAGACAATGACTGTTTGCTTCTAACACTGGTTTTATCAGATAAATATGTGGGATACCACAAATTGGTGGTGCACTGTTAGTCTATAAACTGATTTGTTCACTATGAGATAAACTTAAAACAGTCTGCCTTTTATTGATTCCATGCTGATGGAAAACTAAAATAGGATTGGTTGTTTGATCAGAGGCCAGAGCATGGTCATAAACATGGGAATTCATAGCAGTGTGCCTGGGATTAGAAATATGAGTTCTCTAGCTTCGTAAATAGAGGCCATGGGTAATGCAGACTTAGTATTTAAGAGAACTCAAACAATGTTAACTTGCCATTCAATTGTTTTAAACAGTTTAAAAATCTGTTTTGCTAAAACAAGTGAAAGAAAAGCCTGTGCTTATAAATTACTGCTGTTGATAGGAACAGAAAATGCTTGGTTTTATTGTTGAAATCAGTATTCTTTACATATTAATGCTTTCCGTGCTAGAAAAAATCTGGTTTCACAATATCTAGGCGTATATGGATTTGTTTTTTGGGTTGTGCACTGTGCTTTGTTTGTGGTTACAAACCATGATATGATAAAGTACCTGTGTTCACACAACACAGCCCATATTTCAGTAGGAACTCATGATTCAACAACAACCCACACTCAGTTCGTATGCAACCTTGAATCTTATTTAGCATTGTCTCATTTAGTGTAGATATCATCCAAAAGTCTCAAAATAACAAAAGACTTAATCTTTACCAGTGTCAAAGTATGGATGCCCAAAGTGACTTAATATTTAAAATAAAGTGTGAATTGTCTCTGTTCATCTGACAATATAACAGCTCACTCTCTCTAACGAGCCTTTCTCTGCATAGATGCTTTAGAATTATGGCCAGTCATCTCCATCTTGTTACAGAAGTTACCCCACTTCCTCTTGTTCTGCTTAAATTCCCATCTCAGTGATGTATATTTCTCAGAGAAAGAGACCCTTGGCATCGTGAATGAGCTAGCATGCCAGCAGGAGAGGCTGAAAACCTCCAGGAGCGCTCCATTCCTAAGTTGCATAGTCTATGATGGTCAAACCTGTCTCTTCCACCTTAAGCCAAGGTTGGAACCTGGCAGGAGTAACTAATTGGTAGAGGAGCCTCATGGCAGAGCAGCAGGGACTAGCACTGGCAGCCCATTTTTAAAGGGTTGAGTTTGCATGAGAACCATGGTGCAGCCGTACAATATTCCACCATAGTTGGAAACAAACAAGGAACAACTTTTCTTATTAGAAAGCAACATTGTGGTGTCTGCCTGAAGTTTTAGACCATCTTGACATGGTGCATGGACCTTACCTGTCTTGGAATTCTGGATTTTTTAAACTTTAGTTCTATCAGTGTGCATTCCTTAAAACCTGCCTGTATCGCTATACATCAAGATAGCTTTTTGAGTCACCTTTGCTAAGCTGGAAAGGCGCAAGCCTGCAGCTGGATGGTTAACCACATGTGGAAGTAGAGCAGGGAGTTGAACTTGATGGCTTTATAGACCCCTTACTACTACTATTCTATTATATTCTAAAAAGCTGGGCTCCAAAGTAACACTATTGACCTTAAAAAAAACTGCCTGAAAACTTTTCCCCAGAATACATTTTTTTTTTTAAATGGGTGCCATGCTGTGACCTGGGTTGTGATGAATATCTGTTTTTTGCTCAGAACAAATACTGACTTGCCTGGGCAAATATCTACCTTCTAGGGAAAACTGTCAAATTAAGAAGTAGTTGTTTTCTCTGCCTGGAAGGCAAATCCCACTTTTAGTCCATTGTATCCATGTTTACAAAACCTGCTTGAAAATATGCAGGGCCTGATGTACTTGGGAGGATTCACTGGTGCACCCATTATGTGAAAATATACCCCCATTGACCTGGGGACATGTTGCCTGGCCTTGCAGAACTAATACAGTTAAGGCTAGGAATATGTTCCCCATCCTTGCCTAGCACTGCCCTTTATGATTAATCAACTTGGTTTTCTTAAGAAATATTCTATAGGAGTATGCCACATTTTTAAAATGCCTAATGTTCTTTCACATAACAATATTTATGATGCAGCTTGATAAAAAGCGGGAGTGGGAAATGATGTGCAGAGTGAAGCCAGATGTTGCCAAAGACAGAGAACCGGAGAGAAACCTTCAGAGAATTGCCACGAGGTAAGACTCTGTGTTTGGACTTTTGAAAAGAGTTCTAAAGGCATGCCTGAGTAATCTGCTTCTAATCAAATCGAACCCTTAAGAAGTGGCTCGCGGGAGTCAAATGATTTATCCTTGGTTCTGTCTCGTACAGTATCGAGTTCAACAAAAGATTTCAGAAGTCTTATGAAAACATAAAATTTGGACAAGACTATAACGTGTTAAGTGTTCACCCAGCAGGAGTTCTGGGCCTTAGCTCATCGTTTTGTTAATTCCATACTTACAAAAAAAATATACAGATCAATCACTTCTCCCGCTCTTTGTATTTCTGTAAAGTGCATTCACCAAACCTCGCTGTTCTTGCGGTCAGATTACTGTCTTGCATTAACCTTGTGCAGTACCACATGGCTCTGGTCCAGCACTGAACCTGTGTGTTCTCTTGATCATATCAATGGGCTTATTTTGACATCCTTCCCTCCACAAGGGCCACTTTAAAAGCTTGCCTCTGAGCTTTGCATAGGAGGCTGTGGTAAGTCATTGGCAGAGTCTTGTGGTGTTTGCCAGAACCTGAGGCCAGGATTTCCCACTGTACTGGACCATGCAAGGGCTGGGTCACACAAAGAGGTGGTGTTTCATTTTTCCACATGATGATGAACTTGGAAGCACAATATTGTGGAAGAACATTGCTGTGGACCGGCTGCAGAAGGGGAAGCTTCAGTGATGGAAATGGCTCTGGCTACCTGCTGTGTTTTTACATATAATTGTATATCAAAGAATTATTGGTAACAGGGTTTGTATTACAAGAGTGGCATCCTTGTGCCCTGCAGTGCTTTGGAGTACAGCTCCTGTGATCCCTGACCAGTGGCCATGCTGACTGGGACTGATAGTGATTTTGGTTCAAAGTATCTGGTGGGCATTGGGTTGCCTGCCTTTCCAGTGAACACCATTAAAAGGACCAATTGTAAGAATTACCACAATAAGTAGGAATCCATGTTAGGGGATCCTGCAAGCCTCAAGTGGCCTACCTGTGCTTATGTGCCTATTATGCTACTTGTATATATTGACTAAGCTACTTCTGAGTTCTTCCTGTACCTGCTCCTATTTTTTGTGTTTTGATATCTGGCAAGAACACTTTGGGCAAATTAAACACCCTGGGCAAGCCACAAGCATAGACAATAATTTATGCAAATACTCTGTGGCGTGTGAGCACCCAATGCCAACAAAAGCAATTTTGCTCTAAGGAAACATCTTTCTATGCTGATTTGATTCACAGAGCCAAGGCAAATGAGTGTAAAAGCAAGCTTGTTTTTTTCTTGGAGCAAGATACAACATGGATCTCAACTAAAGGCCAGAGGATGTAGTTTATGCTAAAATCCTTGGCAGAGCCCTGGAGGAATGGCAGGGAGGTGCTTGCACCTCCTTCAGTAACTGACAGCCATGTAGAGAACTACCTGCTTGCCAAAACATGAGACCAATAGTTTATAGAGTCCTTTTCCAAAGAGGTGCTTTTCTATAGGACCATACAGTTATGATACAATTGTGCTTCCTTCATTTTTTCTGGTGATGCTTGTGTGTGGTCTTGCTTACAAATGTTTTGGAGACAGACTGATGTTCATGAGTTGCAAGCTATGTAGGGTTTTGATATCTTTACATTATATACCCTATAACATGGCCACATGATCTGAATGCAAATTGTAAATGTCAGGAACATTGGATTCGTATGTCCACTTGGTGGTCAATGGAATGTATATTTCTGTTTTCACGATTGTGGATCATAGTCCCCTGTATTGGGGTGATGACAGTACATAGTGTTCTCTGTACTTGCCATGTGACAAGTTGATTGCTGCTAGGAAAGTCTGATTAATTTGCATCCTTTTTGGTGGTTGAATAGTAAGTTTCCAGTGGGGTTCCCCACAACCCACCAAACTTGGAGGATTAGGGGAATCTAATGCAGGGCAGAAGTAGCACAGAGACAGTCTTTGCTTCCCTGCTCCTCCCATTTTGGAAACCAGCTAGATGACCAGTTTTGGCTGTCTGGTTGAGGTGCTTTGTAAGGGGAGCGAAGGAGGCTAGAGCACTGCCAAAGAGGCTAGAGCACTGCCAAGATCCTGGCAGACCTAGTCTCCTCCCTTCCCTGCCCCTCATAACATCCTGCTTTCCCTTTCTCCATGGTGACTTCAGAGACACCTGCTGGCTGTGAGAGAAGGAGGTGGAGTATCTGAGCTCCCAGCCTCAGCTCCCAGGTCTGAGGATTTTCAGGCCTTGAACTTGGGAACCTAAATGATCCAGTGGCCTTCTAGATGCTATCTAGGGGCCATAGGATCAATCTGCGCAATACATCTTTAAAATCCCTTTGTGTAGCTATCCAGTCTCTATTACACCATCTCTCCTTTTGTGTCCCATGCTCTGTGGCTGAGGTGCCATAGTCCAGTAAACATCTAGTCTGATCAGTCCTGTTGCTGGCATTCTTTCAGTAATGATACATGGGTGCCTGATGACTTCTTTAATCCCCAGGGGCGTTGTTCAGTTATTCAATGCCGTCAGGAAGCATCAAAAAAACGTTGACGAGAAAGTGAAAGAAGCAGGAGTTTCGAATAGAAAACGTGCTAAGCTGATCTCCTCTGTTTCAAAGAAAGACTTTATCAATGTACTGAGAGGAATGGAAGGAACAGAAGTAGAGCAAAATTCTTCCAGGAAGTCTTTGAAAAGCACCCAGGTAGGTACTGCTCCGTGGAGCACTATTTCTTACTGCAAGCAAAAGCTGGCCATTCAGTTTACCCTTTCATGTCATTTTCCTCTCCTGACCTGAAGTGGTTATGGAACTGGAGCTGGTTCACACAGCATCTTTTCTATCCAGCTGACCAGGGCCAAGAGTTCTCTTGCAAGTGGGTGTTTGGAGAAATGGGAGGTGTAAGAGTGGACAAACACAGAAATTAAATGTTTGTTCTTTCTAAACAAATTTATGGCATGCATTAACTGCATTCCTCTAAAAGGCAGCAGAAATATTGTGTGAAATGACATTAAATTATCCAGTGAGAATTAGATGCCCATTTTCTTGTGAATGCAGTTCACACTTGATCCGTGAATCCCTCTTCTAATGTGATGCACTGTGGTGTTGACTAATGAATTCCAAGCAGCTTAAGCAACTGTCCAAGACAACTGAATGGTTTGATTTCCTTCAGCTGCTGCTTTAATATCAAGCAGAGTTTTGGAAGCTATATGTCAAATGGCCTTTACTGTTGACTTCTGCAAATAAAGTCCTCATCCGGTTCCCATTTTCAGCAGAATTTTGGGTATTTCCTTGTGGATCTTAAGGGAGGGCTGGATATAGCAAATAACACTAGCAGTCCTAGACAGATTTTCTTTTCTTTGTCTTTTCTTGCCTTAACTTTTGCACATTTAGTTTGGAGCAACATTTTTTCTGGGAAACAATAATTGAATTGGAATTGGATATTGTGTCTGAACTTGTTGGAATTGTTGTGATTCCTCAGCAAATTGATGGTTGAGTCTTGCTTGAAGAGGATGATGCTGATCCTATCACAGTCTTGTTCTAATTAGATGCAACCATTCCTTCTTTTTGGCTGCCTGGGTTTCTTCATGCTGCTGGTTCCCCCCTCCTCTGCACACATTGGCTAGGTTCAGACACAGGGAAGCCATGGTTGGTGTTAAGCAAGAACACACCCCGTAGTTCGATATTCATATGATCAACAGAATGAGGTATACAGCTGGTTTTCTGCATTTCTTTCCCATTTGCTCTGCCCCAGCTTTGTGAGTTCATGCCTGTTCTCATGGAGCAGTGGCCTTAGCTGTATTTTTTTTATTCTCACTGGTTAGTAGGATTGACTATAATGATACTGTGCTAAACATACTTTTCTTAAGCTGCCTTCAAACCATGCTTTCAGATTCCTGGTTAGTCTCCAAACCGTAATTTGTGGGCAGGTTCAAATTCAGGCAATAGCTAAACTGTGCTTTATTGTCAACAAACCATATTTCTGTATTATTTGTGAATGCAGTCCATCTGTTTATAGACATGAATGTTCCTGCGCATCTCTTATTCTGGACACTTGGCTAGTGGACTATCTGACTCAGTGGGGTTATTTACTTTCTGTGTTTTTGACTACTGGAAATTCTATCTTTGGTATACTTTTATCTGGTGCTTACCATTGTCATGGGATTCTGAATAGCCTGCTTTTGGTTATGGTTCACCCCTGAAAGATACTTGGTTACACTGACTTGAATTGGAATGAGGCTCTGCGTTCAGTAATTCATTTGTGTTGTTTTTATTAAAATCTATGTGAAGCTATTTTTCCTTTCATTACCTGTTCTAGTCCAATTGTAGGGCTGACAGCATATTCCTTTAAAGAGAAATGTGTTTTTTAAAAGATATATATGTATAAAGATGCTGTGTTGGTCAAATGTAAAAGGGAGCAGGACTTTGGGTTTGAGAATCTAGAATTTCAGAAGCTGCATGTTTATAATACATATTTGCGTTCACGCTTGAACTTCGTGCTTGGTAGTGGGTGGAATACTTCTCTTGGCTCCAAGCCACTGGAGTTAACTAAGCACTTTCCTGTGCCAGTAAGAAATACTTTAATCAGTTGGGAGACAACAGTTTGTCATGTGTTCTTTGTTTAGTGTGCTTTTGGGAAGCATGCCGAAACACTCCATGGCATAAAGAGCCCTCTGAATTTCACGCAAGTGTAAGATTAAAGTATTTTAAAAATTCATTGGGTAATAAGAATAACTTAAGACAGTTGCCAAGTGTTCCATTTCTTCTTAAGTCTGTTCAGTTTGCTTGATTTCAAAGGGTGGAAAATTAGAATAATAATGGTGTTGTAATAGAAGTTCTTTACTAGGAATGCTGCTGTTCAGAACGATAATCTGTTGGTGTACACAGACACAGACACATACACCTGACTTATAGGCAATTTGCAAAGCTAACACTGGGGTTGCCAACAGAGCTGGTCTTACCTCTTGAAATCTTTAAGGTGGCCTAGGATGGTAGGCTTTGAGGCTGTATGTAAGAAGAGCTGGGTGACACAAAGTCAGGGCGTGGCATAACAAGGCTATAACAAGGAGACCCACACCTAAACCTTAATGTGACGTTTTGACCAGGAAGACTTAAACAAAAGTGCTTGCCAGTAAACTGGGATCTCAGTTAAACTTGTTTTTCAGGAGTCCAAATAAAATGTTGGATGGTCTGGACAGTCTTTTTTGTATGATAAAACTGAGTGGGGGGGGGTGAGGTTTCCCCTCATCCTGGTTCCCCTGCACATGTATTAAAAATTTGGCTTTAAATGCCAGGAGTTTTATCAGCTTTCCAGACCTGACATCCAACACCCCTTTAGCCTTCGTTGAACAAAATTATAAAGCTGAAAGGGGCATGAAATCCTAGAAATTAGATCATACAAACTTTGCCCTTTCTACAGTGTCTAGTTTTTTATTTTTGAGTTTCCACTTGCTGTACCTCTTCAGCTTTAAAGTCCCACCCCATGTTGAAATGAACCAATCCTTTGGGGGCTTTTGTTGTGCTGTTTTTGTTGAAGATGGGCTTAGTTCTTGTTTCATTCCCTCTTTTCAGTGTTTTTAAGGAACACAGTTAACTTGGGAATGAAAAAGGTCAGCATCATGATAGGACAGTCTTCTTCAACTAGGCACTGTCCAGATGTGTTGAACTATAACTCCCATAATTCCCAGCTATTTTGGCTAACAGTCAGTGAATGCAAATATTTCTATAGGGAGTAAATCTAATCGTATGCTCCGTTTCTATTGTAAAAGGTGCCTGAGAAGGCTAAAAGTAACATTAATATATCAAAACACACAACAGATTGGAGTTTTTCAAACATCACAATGCATATCATTGAATTCAAGCAAGTTAAAATTAAAAATCTAGGCACAGCACAGAGCAAGTTAAATAAAAATAAAACTAATCTACACTACCAGTTGTAGTCCTGCAGTACTCCAAGGAGCTACAGGAAACTGTCTTAAATCAGTGGAGAGGAGGGAGGGGTCTTCTCACAGGTTAGATGGTTCATACCTCCCTCCCTCTCTTCTGGACCAGGCTGGCTGCAGTAAAAGGGACGTGCTGGGGAGTGGCAATGATGGTAAGTCCTCTTTGCCCAGCCTTGCAGGTGTTTTGGCTCCTAGTGCTGATTTTTCTGGACTCTGCACATTAAACCCAGGAAGGAATGCTTAAGTTATCCACTTATCCCATAAATGCTTTTGTAAATATATCCAGCTCTTAAGCTGAACTCCGCTGAAAACTTTTCTCATGAATACCTCCCAGGATAACTTTTGCAGTGTAGCACTACAGGTGTGACTTGTTCATACTGGGAGGGTTATGAAGATGGTTGCTGGCCATAGAAGGAGGCATGATGGGCATAGTGATTTCGGGAGGAGGAAATCTGATGTCAACATTGTGCATGCATATTTGGGCAGATCCCATAGTGAATGCCATCATCTACCTTTCGTGAGTGTGGAATTGCTCATGAATACATGGATATTAGGTTTCCAACTGCTGTGGAAACATATCTTCCATATATTCTCTCTTATCTGGCAAGACCAGACATCTAGTCAGGAAATGTGAAGTATGTTCTTGAGCCTAGCCTGTGGTGTGTGTTTGCTTATGAAGGCTACACCGAATAATCTGGTGGGGTGATCTAGGCCCCTGCTTCATGATAGCATTGGCCATACAGTTTAGGCAACTGAGAGTTTTCCACACAAAAATAAAGCACTGAAGAATTTTCCAGTTTGGAAACATTTCTGTCTCACATCACTGGTATGGATGGATGGTTCTGTTCCTTACGACCATCGAATATCAACACGTGCAGATTGGCACAAAACTTTTCACCATAAGTTAATTCATTAGCTTCAGCTAAAATTTGTTCCTGAACTCGTATATGTGATCTTCACAGTGCAAACCTTCGCAGTACAATGTAAGGTCAGCAACACCCATGCCTTTCCTCGGGGCTACAACACAATGCCAACTGTGCACATTTCTTGGAATGGCTTATGGCTTTGAAAGTTGGACCATAAGGAAGGCTGAGTGCCGAAGAATTGAGGCCTTTGAATTGTGGTGCTGGAGGAGACTCCTGCGAGTCCCTTGGACCGCAAGGTGATCAAACCGGTCAGTCCTAGAGGAGACCAACCCTGACTGCTCTTTAGAAGGCCAGATACTGAAGATGAAACTCAAATACTTTGGCCACCTAATGAGAAGGAAGGACTCCCTGGAGAAGAGCCTAATGCCTAATGCTCCCTGGAGAAGAGCCTAATGCTGGGAACAATAGATGGCAAAAGAAGAAGGGGACAGCAGAGGATGAGGGGGCTAGATGGAAGCCGTTGGCATGAGCTTAAATGGACTCTGGTGGATGGTGGAGGACAGGAAGGCCTGGAGGAATGTTGTCCATGGGGTCGCGATGGGTCAGACATGACTTCGCGACTAACAACAACAACAGCTTACAGCTTATGCTATGGCTTGGGTTCTGTTGAACTACTAACAATTAAATGAGTTCACTGCTTGATGATTGTTTAGGGTCTAAGGAAGATCTACAAAAGCACCTGGGTGAAGTGGGAGAGGTCTGAGGTGGGAGAGTGGATCATGTCACTGAAGATGCAGTGTTTTTCTACATAAAATACTTCATGCAAGCAGAAAACTAAAATTTCGGAAAGAGAAAAATTTGCTTTTTCTCTCCATTTTCCCCCATGCTCAGTCTGTGG